TTTGCTCTTGGTGTAAATCGAACACATTTGTGGAGTCGTTTAAATATGTTGGATTTTAAATATATTGGATTTTAAACTGTCATACAATTCTTTTCATCAATAGTCTGTAATTGGAACCATAACTCATTAATATGTAAAGACCAAATGTAACTTATATCATCGTTAAATCTTATCTTATAAAACCAGTGGAACTTTAAAATCGTTAAAATTCATGGCTCCCGCCGCATTGCGTTACACAACTAGTTAATTATAAAACATAAACGACTAGGACGGGCCTGTCTATATTTATTTTTACATTGTTCATGTCCGTCCATTAATTTCAACGAACAAACCCGAGCCCGTCCATTTTTTTCGATAATGATTGTCCATACCCGTATTTCTAGTTGGCCGAATGAGCCGAATTTAACGGGTCGTCCCGCCCATGAACAACTCTAGTGGAAACCACATATTACTCTTCAAAGAGGACTTTGAGAAGAGAGAAAATATTTAGTAGAATTAACAATTCTAACAAAAAATATAACTTTTTTCCTTATAAAACCATTTTATTTCGATAATATAAAAAAGCATTTTTATTAAATTATATGCTGAATAAAATAAAAAAAAAATTATTTTAATTTATTTATAAGGTTCATTAAATTCCCAACCTAACTTTAATTAACTACTTCTGACCTTTAGTTATTCTTTTACTTTCTTGACCATGCAAACGCTTTGGACCTTGTCGTATCCTTTAATTCAATACCAACATTTATAATATGAAACATATATATATATATATATATATATATATATATATATTTTCAAATATTATTTAATAATAATAAAATAAAAATCACCATCATCAATCAAGGACAATAATAACCAATCAATTTCATTTTTATGAGATATAAAATCACACCATCCCTTTTTTTAATATCCAATTTGCACATTTTTTTCAATATTAAAATCATTTATTTATTTTTCCAATTATTATAAAAAATACCATTGGTTATGGATGGAAAATAAATGTGAACCACAAAGTGATGTCGGATTGGTTTGAGTTTAACTCTAAAGGTGAAAAGTAACAGGAGGTCTTAGATTCAAATCCAAGGAGAAATAAAAATCCCCTTGTAGCCACGGAGGTTCAAATGTGGTGACTCCGTGCTATTTGCAAAGCAGGTGGTCGCCATAGGATTAGTATAACGGGTTGGATATCCAGTTAATAAAAAAAGTAAATAAAAATAAAATGATTTTTTATACCTGAAATAAAATCCTGAATTTATGATGGAATTAATTAATTGTAATATATAAAATCAAATATTGTTATTTATTTTTATTTTCATTGATTATTAATTAATACTTATTAAGAAAGCTTTCTAAAATATGATATATAAATAATTTTTTAACTTAAATTGGATTGACGGTTAGAAATAACGTACCGTGAAGAAGCCAGAACAAATTGCCGTTAGTCATGTAGTCGTAGACGAGTAATTTCTCATCTTTTGCAAAATAATATGCCTTCAAACTAACGACGTTAGGGTGCCGTAACCTCCCTAAAACCTCCATCTGTGATTCAAACTCTCGCTTACCACCAATCACCTCCTTCAGTCGCTTCACCGCCACCACATTGCCGTCATCCAACACCGCCTTGTACGCCGTCCCCAACCCACCTTTACCCAACATCTCCGCCGACGCTCTCAACAAATCCTCCAACTCAAACCTCCTCGTTCCGTCAAAAAACACCATTCTACCCTTCTCGAAGCTCGAATTCGCTGTCGCCGGAGTCGGCGTGTACACTCTCTTCCCCTCTTGAAGAACCTCCGTCTTCTCGTTTATTGATTTTCGGGCCGAGTTCTCACAGAAGTAGCAGTAGAGAAGTAATGAAACTAGTCCCAATACCAAAACATCTCCGATTATTATCGCCACCACGACAACGGTATTTATCTTCCCACCACCGTGATGATTACCGGACTTTCTTTTATCAGGCACCGCCGCCGTCGAAGGCAGGGAGGTCGGGGAAGATGACACAACCGGCGAAGGTATTTCCGGTCTGGTGCATTTGGGAAGTGGGAACCCACATAAAACCGGGTTGTTTGAAAATACTGATTCCGGGAATCCCGATAGACTGGCCGGTATTTCGCCAGAAATGTTGTTCGTGGACATATTTAAGTCCCGTAAGTTCGGTAAATTCAGAAACTGAATCGCTCCAGAAAACTGATTTTCCTCTAGACGTAAAGTCAACAATTGCGTTAAACGATTGAGCGAGGGCGGGATATCGCCGGAGATGTTGTTATACGACAGATCGAGACGGAATAAAGAGGGCAACGACGTCGGGAACTCGCCGGAGATTTGATTGTAAGAAAGAAAAACAAGTCTGAGAGAGGTGAGGTTGGAAAGATCAGGAATGGGGCCGACGAGGCGGTTACGTTTCAGAGAGAGGAGACGGAGTTTTACGAGAGAGGCGAGTGAGTCGAAACGGCCTTGTAGATCGAGTCCTTCAAGAACGAGTGACGTGACTCGGTTATGGAGGCATGAGACGCCATAGAAGGTGGAGGAGTTGTTACATGGGTCCGATGAGTTGTTCCATGAAGAAAGTTTATTGGAGACGTCGGCGGATGATTTGAAAGAGAGTAATGGGGCGAGGTCAGGGTGGTTGTTGGGTGGCGCCGGTGTGGCATGGAGGAGAGACAGGCGGAGGAGTAGGAGTAATAGTAGTAAGATAGATAAAGTGGGATGAAGCTGCGATGGCGGTGATGCTGCCATTGTTGTGCGTGAGAGAGAACGGAGGAGGGCGATAGTGGCAGTGGAAGCTGCAGATGCACTGCGTGAGTTTGCTGACAAGAAAATTGGTTACATTAACAGTGATGACCCCAGAAATAGAAAATTTGTCTTTTATCGTGTGTGTGTATATATATATATATATATATATATATATATATATATA